AACTCTCCGTCGAAATTTCACTTCGCAGACCCATTTAAGCGAGTTACGCCCGTTTTTCTTGTACCGGCTCGGCTGCTAGGTAGGCAGCCCGTTGTACGCTGCCCGCCAGATTCAAAAGACAATCCCTTCAAACTCAAGTGTCTCTGAACAGGGGTGGTTTCTGTCGCCGCCGGGCCATTTTAAGTGAGTTACGCCTGTTTTTCTCGGACCGGCTCGCGCGCCAGATTCAAAAGACCACCCCTTAAAACTCAAGTTTCTCTGGACAGGGGTGGTTTCTGGCGGAACCAAAAGTAGTTTTGTGGTGCCCTGGTTCACCCCTGTCGGTTCGACTACTTTTCCGTCGAAATCCGGACCCACCCATTTTTGTTAAAAATGGGAAGGCTAGCCTTTGTAAATTTGGCCAAAAATGAAAAAAAATAAAAATCGCTGGAAATGATTGGAATTGGTCTAGGAGAGTCGCCTTTGACCTTCTCTGTCGAAATTGCATGCTTCCTGCCTCTTTTGCATCCTGTTTCTTCGACTATAAAATTGCGTCTTTGGTTTGTCGCAGGAAGATCGGCCTGGAGGTGACCTGACTTGGACATCAGCAAAGCAGCCTATGTGTCACCTGCAGTGTGCTGAGTTGGCGTCGCAGCACACAGCAGAAGGAATCGCTCCTTTTTCTCATGATCGCAGGGATGAATCTGGTAAGTTTTGACTTTCAGTGTGATGTTAACTTAAAATACCAGTACTTTTATGGTAGTCATGTCTGGTAAAAGTTTATTTTGGTATTGTTTCTATTTATGGGTTACTTGCCATTTCTTTACTGCTTATTCTCATTCCATATATACGATCTTATTACTTGAGCCTAAAATATTTAGCCGTGTTCTAATTTTAGTGCGGAACTGGAGGCAAATCATTAGTAATCTTTGACAGTAATGCTGCTATTTATTTCATTTGTATGGTACAGTTGTAGTAAAATAGGAAGTGATGCTACTTCTTATCCAAAGGGATGTGCCTGGGCCTGGACTTGATGCTTACCACCTGTAACATAGAAAGTTCATTCGATGAGCTGGCGTCACCGTGATACCATATGGACCATATGGACCAGAAAACGTTTGAGTTGAACTCTGATAATTTGAATTTAACTTAGATTTTTTTCTTTCTTTTTCAGGTATTCAGATTCACCCCAAGTCACCAGCAGAAACAAGCCAGCTACTTGAGGAAGACTTACATTTATAATGTAAATGATTTGAAACAATAAAGAATAAAAAATGACTACATCTGACATTTTCCTTGATTTCATACACCTAATTAGTTAAAAGCTGTGGTAACTGTGGATGTAGTAGCAGACTGCCACCACTACAGCAGTGACGTCACGGGCGACTCGGATGCAGCTGTCATGGAGCCGTGGAGGCAGCAGTAGATTTACTACTACCCCCACAGCCCCCGCAGCAGCACCCAAGTCGCCCGTGACGTCACTGCTGTAGTGGTGGCAGCCCGCTACTACCTCCACAGCAGCCGCAGCCGAGAGGAGGGCGGGGGGAGGGAGGGAGGGTTTTTTCGGACGGCTTAGGGCGACACGTCCAGCCCCCTCATTGACGCAGTGAGGTCACGCGTTGCACGTATTGTCCCCATGCAAGGGGTCCGCTGACTCCACAGCGTTGAGCGGAAACGGCTCCGCTAGACCCTTCCACAATGTGGGTTGATGAATGAATTTACAGGGGGGTAAAAAAAAAATAATAACTGGACCAACGGTCATCACTGTGACGCCAACTCAACTTATATCTGATGATTCCATGGGCTGCACGGCTGATGTCCTTACAGAAACACCTATCCAGGCCGATCTTCCTGCAACAAACCAAAGAGGCAGTTTTAGTCGAAGAAACAGGATGTAAAAGAGCCAGGAAGCACGCAATTTCGACAGAGGAGGTCAAAGGCGACCCTCCTAGACCAATTCAAATCATTTCCAGCGATTTTAAATTTTTTCATTTTTGGCAAAATATGCAAAGGCTATAGCCTTTGTGTTTTTAGCGAAAATTGATGGGTCCGGATTTCGACGGAAAAGTAGTCGAATCGACAGAGGTGAACCAGGGGACCACAAAACTACTTTTGGTTCCGCCAGAAACCACCCCTGTCCAGAGAAACTTGAGTTTTAAGGGGTGGTCTTTTGAATCTGGCGGTTAACGTACGATGGGCTGCCTACCTCGCAGGCGAACCAGTCAAAAAAAAAAAAAAAAACCAAACAGGCGTATCTCACTTAAAACGGCCCGACGCCGTTAAACTTCGCCGCAGAGATTGAAAGAGGATTCAGTCTGACCAATCCCAAATATTTTCGGCGATTTAACAATTTTACAAAGGCAAAAATAGCCCTCGTGTTTTTAGCGAAAAGTGATGGGTCCGGATTTTGACGGAAAAGTAGTCGAAACGGCAGAGGCAGAGGTGACCCAGTGGACCACAAAACTACTTTTGGTTCCGTCAGAAACCACCCCTGTCCACAGAAACTTGCGTTTTCAGGGTGGTCTAATCTGGCGGTCAGCGTACGATGGGCTGCCTACCTCGCAGGCGAACCGGTCCAAGAAAAACAGGCGTGACTCACTTGAAATGGACCGGGGGGTGAAATTTCGACGCAGCGATTGAAAGGACCAATCTTAACCATTTCCAGCGATTTTCAAATTTTTCATTTTTGGCAAAATTTACAAAGGCATGGGTCTGGTTTTTGATGAAGGGGGTGAACCAGGGACCACAAAACTACCTTTGCTTATGTCAGAAACCACTCCTTTTCACAGAAACTTGAGTTTTAAGAGCTGGTATCTCTAAGTATGGGCGGGTAGGCTACCTAAGGCGCACTGGCTAAGAACTCTGCTGCAGTGGGTCGGCACCATGATATTTATACAGAGCAACTGAAAAGGGAGTTTGCCCGACCAATCCAACCCAATTCCAGCAATTTTCTAAATTGTCACGACTTTTAAAAGACATTTTCAATGAAAACAAATCAGCCTGGACTTTGACAGACGAGGATTGAAATCGACAACAAAGAACCAAGGCACCACAAAAAACATCAAAAACCACTCTTTGATGCACACGAAAAAGGAAGCTCCTCATAGTGCCTGTACAGAGACAAATTGGACCAGCGTTGGCCGTTACTGTCATGTCAACTCACCAATTCTTTTAGGTAAAATGACTCCATAGACTTCTCTTGCTCATGTCAAGAACATTTCTGGGCCGAGTTCCTGCAATCATATTAAACGGTACTTTTAGCGCTCATCAACTATTAATTACATGTAATTTACTCATACAATACACTTTTAAATGCCTCTCCCCCCCATGCGTCTATAAATGACCATGGTCTTTCAAATAACTAATTTTGGCACTGGACTAAGCATTAAGTACGAAGGGGCAGCAGCAAATTATCTGCAACGCATATTCATTGATTGTTTGAGGGATTACGCAAATAGTACCACTCGGTTTGCACCCAACCAGAAAGTAATAAAGTTTTCTGTTCCCCGAGAATAATATAGAGTAAAATATATGATATGTGATAAAACACTGGCAGTTCACCCATTTGCAGAAGTGACCTACAACAGTATTTAACATACTGCATGGATTGGAGGAGTCTACCCACTCAACACTTTTTCAACAAAGCTGACAGTGAACCAAATTATTTACATCACGGGGCATCATTTACTCGGCATCAAAAAAAAAAAACTTAATTGTGCGTGTAAACATTGAGGCACAGGAGAACACTAACCTCCTACAACAATAAACCGGAATGGAACAATTCAATATTCCGGACCGGAAACAATCAAGCACTATACCTTACGATTAATATCGAACAGCGGCGATGTCCACTCTTAAATTCTCGTTAAAATCCTATCATCATCAATTATATGAGTAGGTATTATCGGTATTTGGCCGATTTTCACTGTTTGTTTACGTTTCCATAGAGGCGCGGGGCGCGGTGGGGAGGAGGAGAAGGGGTAGGGGACGCGGCACGACAAAGGGCAGAGGGGGAGAGCAATAATTACGGCACACTCACCGACACATATCGTGGTCGCGGGATGTTATTCTTTCCTGGGGTAGGCAATCCCGCCTCGCTTGTCCAGGATTTGAACCTTTCGGAATGCTTCCCGTCCCGTGCATCGTTGTGTATGGCTCCGGGCGGCAAAGCCAGGGAAGTGCCATGTGGCAATAGTGAAACTAGGCATTGTTATAGACAAAGAGGCTGATCGCGGAAGCGATGTGCGTTTCCGTTGTTTTGTGATTTTGTTATGTTGGCAATTAATTATCATGGGGAAGTAATTTTCAACTTCTTTCCTCCTTAGTTTTTTTTTGTACCCATTTCGCCCATTTACACGACGCCGCTCCTCGCGCGTACGAAATATACCTCAGTTCTGCCATGTCGTTCTGTGCGCAGGCTTGCCAACGCACAGACTGCAAAATGAGGCGTTTTAGAAGCAAGCGCTCATTGTAACTTTGACCTCAGTTATCTTTCCAACGGTAATAATTGCTCGATAATTAGTTTCGCAGCAATTTTTGTTGTACTCTCATCAGAACAACATATCTCTGACTCACATTGACCTTATAAACTTTACGATTGGGAAGGTTGGATCCCCATAAGTTGGGCCGTGATCTCCCAAACTCCTGGGGGCTACTCCACTCGATTGTAAGGCTTCGCCTCTTATTCTTATTCAGATTCTTTATTTTTATTGCTTGGCGGCTCAGCCAATAAATGATCAGGATAATAAACTATTATGGGCGATTTGCTATTAATAATAATTATATTTCGCGACTTTTAAGAACCAGCCCGGGTACACGACGTTTGGAGCCGA